GGGCAGTACTGAGGTTGAGGAAGCCACTTGAAGCATTCAGGAACCACTCCAGGATGTGGAACGGGATCACACCTGTTAAAAATTATGCTAGTGTGTAAAGAATTTGAGAATTGAAATTATCTCATTCTACATAACCTTATAGATCCTATAAATAAGGGAATTATAATAATAATATATTGTGTTATGGAAGATGTTTTATCCTGTGATGTGTGCTAAATCATACCAATATCCTGGAAGTCTTGCACTTCCCAATGATTATGATGCTCAAAATGCTTTGTAAGATGGGGGAAGGGAGTGGAAATATATTAATATATAAATACATATTTACCCAAACTTTCTTCTGGGTCCCTTGCTCAGCTATGTGGGTCAGGACGGACAGAAACTCCAGTGTGTAAAGAAAATGTAAGCCTCCTGCCTGTTGGTGTTCTTGAAATCACCTTATGAATTCACAAGCTAGGAGCTTGGAACAGAGAGCAAATGAGAGGTACTTTAACCAATCCCCCTAATATAGAAAAACTTGTATTTTTAATAGTTTCTTTAAGCATAGGTCTTACTGGACCTCACAGATTATTGGATGTCCATAAGTGCTTTTATATATTGTAACTATAAATAAATTTCTTTATGCACAGAGAGCAGTTGGAAATCACGTAATCAGCTATAAAATAGGATGACCTTTGCATTTATCAATACAAGGATATTGCATTCAGACTAGGAAAATGGCAAATAAAGGTTTGATGGAGTGGGAAAAGTATTTTTGAAAAACAAATGAACAAATGAATAAATAAATAAAACAATATTTGGAAAATAGCAAAAAAAAAAAAAATGCAAGTAATACTCTGTATTCCTTCCAGTGCTCCCTTTGTCCTCTATTACTTAAATCATTAACTGCATTTTTCTTTAAAAGGATGAAAAATCTCCCTCGGCCTTCCCTTGACATGACATGAAATGTTTCTCATGGCCCTGGAGGGTGCCCTGGCAATGGCATTAATGCCAAACCTGGCTGCATCTAGCCATCGGGCTCTCTCTTTCTCATCTCTCAATGCCTTTTCATAATTGGATGAGAAGACACTGGGGCTGGTATCATCGATTTTCAAAAAACCACTAACCTTTCCTCTTGCTGGTTTCAGCGTGCTCTCTTGCACCTCACAGGAAATCATAGTGTAGAGAATCTCTATTGGCCATGAGCTGGTGTCACCTTATCACTTCAAGGCTCCCTAGTACCCGTAAGAAGAGAGGGGTTGTCTCAGCCCACCAGCCTTCCCAGAGGGTACTCAGTGCTGACCACTCTGGGGGATCCTGTCTGCCCTGGGATCATTGAACCCTCAGTACTTAGACAGAGTTCTCATCACGGGTTTCTGTAGGACCTGGGACCCAACCTTTTGCACTCTGGTGGCTTCACCTTCACCTTTAAGGCCTCACCTCCCTAGACCTGACATATAAAAGGAGTGAGGAAGCCTGTCTAACAGCCCTTCCCTGGGCCTTCATATGTTGAAAGCAGGGGTGGGGTCTGACTTTTTCTTGTCCCCGTTATTGAGTGGGAGGGGTGTAGTCCCCTCAGTTTTCCCTCAGGGTCTCAATTTGACTCCGTGTAGGGCTTGTAGCTCCTCTCTCCTTTGATCCGAGGGCATCTATTCATAGCAAGACCCAGAAGTCTCTGAGATGCAATGGAGGGAAGGGAGGGGAGCCTCATTTGGCCACACCTGCCTGTTGTCTCCTAAGACAGAAAGCTGCTGTCAGGCATCTTCTAGCCTTATGATGGTTGGCCTCACCAGACCTCACTCAAGTTCTTCAGTTTGACTCATGGCAGGGACAATATTTCCTCCCCCTCTTGGCCTTTTACTGCATTGCTCACAACAAGGCCCTCCTTTCTCTGGCATCCTGATGAGGAATTGAGGGCTGCCTCTGCTCTGCCTGACATCTATCCCTGCTTCTCCCAGGACGAGCAGTGGAGGAGAGATTATGAGCTGCTCCCATTGTCATGCTCTGCTCCTTCCTCAAGGTCTTTACCCTGGCTCCTGACACAGCCTGGCAATTTTCCCTATGCTGCCTCACCAGCCTCAGGCCAAAGACCTCCCCACCCTGAGTCCCCAGAAGGGAAGTCAGAGTGACCTGGCCATGGCTGTTTGTGTATTCAGAGAACTGACAGCAGGGGCAAGACTCTGTGAGACTCCACTCTTTTAGGGTTGGTGATCCCTTGAATTCTCATTCATCCAGGATCTCTGACTCCTCCCTTCAGTGACCTGAAAATCTTCCAGGGCTAGAAGTGAGTGGTGATTGACACATCTGCTCAGCCCTGCCTGGCGCTTCCAGGGGCTGAAATATGAAGGACTGTGTGGGTCCCTCTCTCTTCCAGGTGGTTGCTCCCCTCAGAACTCACTCAGGGTCCTCAAAACCAAATATTCCCATGACCTAGAGGCCTATCCTCTCACACTAAATGCTTCGTTTCCCTGAGATTCCCTAGAAGGATGTAAGTGTCGCCTTAACTGGGCATGACTGCTTGAGGTCACCCATGACTGACAGAGGGGAGGAATTCTGTGATGTTCTTGTTTTTATGATTTCAGTGGTTCCTTCAGTCCTTGCTCGACCCTTGACATTATCTGGAATTGGGCCTGTGGTAACCTGAGGCCAGACTCTTTGACCAACTGCCTCACCTCCCTGAGATGTCCTAAAGGGAAATGGGTGCAATGCAGCATGCCAAATTCCCAGGTTTGATAGGGGATATATCAGTGGCAGGACTCCATCTGTCCTGGGAGTGTTGCCAACATCCTCATTTAGGGTCATCAACTGGACTCCTCTGAGGGACTAATTTTCTATCCTCTGCTGAGTGGGGCAGTTCCAATTACACCAAGGGCCACAACTCCATGAGACCACTCCCAGGGAAATGAGGGCCACTTCAGTCCGATAGGCCCTGGGCCTTCTAACACTGACAGCAGGGACAGGACACTGTGCATCCCCTTTGATCTGGGTGAGTGGTCCCATCTATCCTCCCTCCAGGTCCTCACCTTAATCCCTGACCAGACCTGAAACTCTAACCTCCCCTGACCGGAAGTCTCAGTCCTCAGACAAAGGACATCACTTTCTTGGAATTTCTGAATTGGAAGTTAGGAATAGCCATATATGGTCACAGTGGAGGGTGTTCTGAGGGATGATAGCCAGATGAGAATTCTATGAGACTCTAGTCTTTTTGAATCAGGGGCTCCGTCAGTTTTCACCCAGATTTCTAACCTTGAGTTAGGGTGTGATGTCGGACTTTTCCCTCTGCTGATCTGAGCCTGCTCACCTCAGATGAAAGCATTATGCTTACTGAGAAACCAGAGAGAAAGTTCAGGCTGCTACTCCTTGGCTATCCCTGCCTGGTGCCTCTGTGTGGCCCTCTCTGTTATGGGGAGAATCATCAGCACTCATTGTCCTCACCTTAATTCTAGTCAGAGCTTGCTAGGATCTCCTACTTAAGCAGAATTGGAGCTATGTCACAGGATCAACTAACTCAACTCCCTGAAATGCCAGTAGTGACCCCAGAAGGAAATGAGAGGGCACCTGGGTCAGATAGCTCTTGGGGTGCTTATAGCCATCCAAGGCAGAAAACAAGATGTTCTTTATATGGCCCCTATTCTTCTGGGTGGGCAGTTTCTCATTCCTCATTCGAGGTCCTAACCTTGATATTTTTCAGAGGCTGAAATCCCCCTCCCACTGACCTGAGCATGCCACCCTTAGACCAAGCCTCTTATGTCCCTGACAATCTTGCAGAATAAATGGGAATCTCAGCTTATAGCTCTGCCTGGGTAACTAGAGTTCTGAGAGTAGAAAGGAACTGGTCTCTGGGTGTCCCCTATATTCTGGGGTATTGATTTCCAGAGTCCTCATTTACGGGGGTCCTCATTTTGCCTCCTTCCTCTTTGATTAAAGACTGCAGGGAAATGTCACACACCTGCAAACAATTGGGCAGGTTCCCTACTGCAAACCTTGCAGGGAGTAGCTTCCTGTCCAAGGCTCCATGTGAGATGGGGAAGCAATAGCACGAGGCAGGAGGCCCAGGACCAGTGGTAGGCTGTCAGAGAAAAAAATCCTGATCATTCCTTTGTTTCACCAGGAAGAATTAGACTATTATATAACTTTTCTTTGAATAGATATGCTTTTTACAGGGAAGGAGCACAGCAAGATAATTTCATGAACTCCTGATCATTTCATGTTATCTGACACTGCATATGTAGATGATCATACCATAATGAATATTAGTTGTTCATTTATTTATTCATCCCACCCATTTATTCAGTATTATTAATATTCTACCTGTATATTCCAAAACACTGCTTTGGGTACGGTGTCTTTTTTATCTTCCATACCCATTTGGAGCAGTGAGAAGATAAATGAATCACAAGACAAAGAGTCTGGCTCAGGCTGGGAAGATCGGAAAAATTTGGGCTCTAGATAAATCCAACCAGTGATCCACTCCCAACTCTATCAATAAAAGGCCTGTGAACTCAAAAAATGTTCAAGTTTTTCACTTGTGGAATCTGTTAAGCCTTATATTGTAAGAATATGGGAATGTATGCACTATACATAAAGCACATGGCATCCTGATTAGGAAATGTTGGGTTTTTAATAAATGAAAGTTATCATATGATTATATTATATTGTTTTATTTTTATGTGATGTTATTTTTAATATTCCTAATTATATAATATAAAAGATAATTGTGATATATCTTGCAAATATTTGAGACGATTTGAGCCTCTGAAAGTGCCTTAAATTTAGCAGCCTTGTTTTAAAAATCTTCTTAGTAAACTCATTCACAGGAGCACACTGATCACTGCATCTCATATGATTATCTTAAACTCAGAAAATACCACCCTCCAAACAGAGGTTTGTTTTTTCTTCTTTTTTTTTTTTTTGCCCAGTAAACAGTATATAATATGCTGAACACACACACACACACACACACACACACACACACACACAAACACACACACAAAACAACATACATAGTTGACCAAGCTAAATAAATGCAAATAGTCTTTATTTATATTAAAAGTAATACTCTAACAAAGGAGAGAATCCAAGAATTATACAACTTTCACATTTCTGTTTTTACTATTTGTTTTTGCATAATATCATGCCAAGTATCTTACTGTGGGATACTCTCACATTTCCATGAGTATCCCTATTACATTAGCAGATTATGTAGTTCAGAAGCATAAAGAAAATGTGAATGGTTTGTGAATTTGTATTATAAATACCCAAACTATAACTTTCAAGTGTAACTCTTTAAAAGTAACTGTTAAGGAGCAATAGATGTGAGATGCAGGTCATTGATAGTCTTACATTTAGAAGCAAAATAAACCCTTAAATAAAAAGAACAACGTTGAAAAAATAAGAAAGAAAGAAAAGGATATAAACAGAGGTTACTCCTCTGTAGGAAAACTACAAATAAACGATTTTACATCTGTTACACCATTTTGCGATCAAACTATTTTCCAGTGGAGTTGTTTCACATTTCCATGGAAATACCTCTTACAATGCCATATTACCTTGCTCTATAGTAAAAAGAAAATACTGAAGGTTTTTCAATTTGTTTAAAAATAACAGAACTCTTAGTGTTAAACCTCACAAACAGCAATAAATGTGTCATCTGTAACATTAAGAAAGTTACATCGTGAAACAAAATAAATCTTAAAGGGAACAACACTTCAAAACTGTTAACAAAGAAAGAAAAAGTTAAAACCACAAGTTACTAATTTGTAACAGGAGAAAAAGAAAAAGATATACATGTTGTTCCCCACAGCCCCGTCTACTCTGGACTACTTAGAGGTTCACTGCTCTGAGTGGAAAATCTACCTGAGACCTCACTAGATGTGGGGGGGTCTCAAGGACATGGCCCCGAAGCGTGCCCTGGCTTGGGCAGCAGTGCCAGCCCTGGCTGCAGCCCTCACTGCTGCTCTCTCCTGCTCATCTCTCAGAGCCTCATCATACAGACTAGGGAAGGAAGTAGGGACGGTGTTATTGATCTTGGCCAAAACTTCCAAGACTTTCATTTTGCTGGTTTCAGCACGGGCTCTGGGACCCCACAAGAATTCATAACTTGGAGGATCACTATTGGGCACCTGGCGGTACTCCAGATACTTTTCCTGCACCAAATCTTTGGTGATGAACTTCCGGGGCTCCCCAAAGATTAAGTGCCTCCTCCCAGCATATACCCCCAACGCATTCAGGAATTCCCAGACCTCCTCCTCAGTGGCACGGTTGCCTTTCATGAAGATGACACCCAGGAGCGTCATCAGGAGACCCGACTTAGGCAACCCCCCATTACCACTCACACAGCCCTCTGTGGAGAGGCCCAGCTTACTGACAAGGGTGTACAACTGATCGCCGGGTTTCACTCCCTTCAACTCAAGGCCAAACACCAGCTCCATGCGCTCACAGGCTCTCTTGAGGATCTCAGGGAAGTGCTCCTTGTATTTTCTGTTGACAACCTTCAGCATGTCTGCCTTCAGAATGGGCTCCTTCTTTTTATACTTCTCCAGCAGGAACTGCACCAGCATACTCGCCTTTCTGGTGAGAGGATCTTTCTGTGAGCTCTGAGTGGAGGATGCTGCCTGGGAGGTGCTTGGTGTTTCCTCATCTTGACTCTTGGCATCTTCATCAGGCATTGCGCAGGCTACACCTGCATCAGGAGAGCTAGAGCGTGGAGCTCCCTGAGACCCCAGGGGAATGAAGACAGCAGGGGAGCTTGGGGGGCCACCCCTAGAAACAGGAGAAGAGCAAGAAGTGGGGGGAGAGGAGGAGGGGCCCTCCTCTTCCTTCTCTGCAGTGGCCTGAGGACCCCTGAAAGCCTGGGATTGATCACGCTTCTGCTGACGTTTCTCGCGAGCACGGAGCTTACTCTTTTGACCCCGAGGCATGATGGCTGAGATCAGGCACAGCGGACCAGAGTGCAGACAGGAGGCCAGCAATGCAGCACCTAGGTGGAGAAAAATGACATCCTGTGAGCCCCTTCAGCAGGGAGAGACCACCTTGGCTTTAACCAAGGCCGCCTCTGCAGGTTTCTGTGAGAGCCTTAGCATTGGGATGCCACAGGGCTCCTGTTCTCCCGGTCAGGCTTTCTCCTTGGAACTCTGTGGAGGAAGTTAAATAGGTTTTTAGGCCACTACATGACCGCCTAGTTAGGGGCTTAATTGTGCGACAGGAGTGGCTGGAAGGGCCCCCCTCCCTCTTTAGGTGTGGAAGTCCTCTCAGTTTACTTCCAAGACCATCATATCAATTGTTGTCACGACCCGGACCCCCAATTCCCTCTGTTGCTCTCAAGTTGACACCACAACCTTCCATCGTACTCAAGAGGAGGAAATGAAGGAGCATTTCAGCCCCCACTTCAGTCACGGGGCACCTGGGCATTCCAGGACTGACAATAAGGGAGATGGTTGAGCGTTCCTGTTATGGGCAGGCTGGTCCCCCACAAGAATAACAGTTATCAGCCAGACTTCTCTTGACCTGGAAATCGTCCTCTGCTGACCAGCTGCCAGCGCCTTGGGACAGGCCCCCACCCCTGACTCTCTGAGACCTGCCGGACCTTCAGACTATGTAGGGGCAGAGCTCTGTGCCGCCCCAGTTCTGGGCCTTGGAGTCCCCTCAGTCTTTAGGAGGGTCCTCTCCTTGACCTGTAGTGCCAGGGACTCTCCCTCTGCTGACCTGAGCCCACCGGATTGAGACCAAGGCCTTGGTTCGCTCATTGAGACCGCGCGTCAAAAGGAATGGACGTTGGGCCTACTGGGGATTCCCGGGCCACGGGCAGGGGCGGGTGGGGCAGCGCCATGTGTGGCCTACTCTCTCAGGCGGGGCCGTTACAGTTTCAGGTGAATGTCTGGCGTTTCTCTCTCAGGAAACCCACCAGGGCAGCTGAGAAGACCTCGCACGCCTCCCTCTGCTGACCTGAGGCCTCGACTCTCGGACGAAGGCCTCAGTCCTCACTGTCCACAGCGTGGAGGAGGAGGAAGTCAGGGCCCATCACTTCCGGCCACGCCCCCTCCAGGGCCCATAACAGCAGGGGCGGGGCAGTGTGTCCAGCTGTTTCTGGGGGATGGGCGCTTCCCGGGGTCTCACAGCAAGTCCTTTCCTTGATTCTTGAGTCCCCAGGCCTGGGACTAAGGACTTTGTTTACCTGAAAGTCTAGAATGGAAAGGTAGGGGAGCCTGAGCCCAGCAGACATGCCTGGGACTTTCCCAACTGGCAGTAGGGGTGGAGCTCCCATTCTTCTGGAATGGATGTTGCATCACTCCTCACTCACTGTCTTCTCTTCACTCTTTAGAGTTCCTGGGTCAGCTTTTGTCTATGTATTTGGAACCAGCCTCTGATACCAGATACCTCGACTGCCTGGGACTCCTGATATAAAGTGCAGGAATCCTCATCTGGCCACTACTGCCTGGCCCAGCCCCCCATGGCTGCGGAAGGTACGTTGTGGTGTGGAGGGGGCATGAAGGAGGGGAGACTATGTGACATCCTATCTGTTCTGAGGTGCTGAGTCCTTTAGGCCTCACTTAGTCCCTCATGCTGACTGCTGGTATCAGGGCCTAGAATTCTTGCCTCCTCTGATATGAATGCCCCCATCCCCTACCATGGACTGCAAAATCAAGCCTGAGAAAATGAGGGGGCTCCTTATTCTGACGGCTTTGACTGTGATCTCTCTTGGCTGACATCAGCAGCATTTTCCAAATGTTTCAGTAGTAAATTCATACGCTTATTACATGTGATCCACTGGGATATTTCCTATTCTGTTTTAGTTTGTGTCTTATATTCAATTAAGATAATTGAATATCGATTAAGATATCGATTAAGATAATCATAAAGGAAGCCAGTCCTCAAGCATTTAAGAGGTTTTAGGTAGTTATTTCTATAATATCTGATTTCATACTGCTTTAATCAATGAAAATTTTGTTTTGTTTATTTTTAGTATTTATTTATTTATTTATTGTGTATGTATGTATTTTTAGGCAGAGTCTCACTCTATTGCCCAGGCTATAGTGCCATGGCGTCAGCCTTGCTCACAGCAACCTCAAACTCCTGGGCTCAAGCAATCCTGCTGCCTCAGCCTCCGAAGTAGCTAGTACTACAGGCAAGTTCACCATGCCTGGCTAATTTTTCCTATGTATTTTTAGTTGCCCAATTAATTTCTTTCCATTTTCAGTAGAGATGGGGTCTTGCTCTTGCTCAGGCTTATTTCAAACTCCTGACCATGATTGATCCACCTGCCTCGACCTCGCAGAGTGCTACGATTACAGGTGGGTGACACCGCGCCGAGTCTACTTGGAGTATTTATTACTCCATGGTTCTGGCACGTGGGGTCAGAGGTACTACCTCAGATTCTTCAAGTGAAATGAATTGTCCAAGGCACATTGGAAGAAGCAAAGGCCAAACTTTAAAATCATTCTTTCAGTGGATCCTATCATCTGCTTTGTACTGCAGACTATGGCCCTGTCTCTACTTCAGGGCATGCCCCTACACAAGCACTAGTTTAGCAGACATAGTGTGCTTCAAGGAAGGGTTTCTTACTTTTCTGTTTTGCTGACATTTATGATATTTTTCTTTGTTTATTTCTTTTTCAGATTTTCCTTGGTTAGTTTTGGGAATGGGAAAGAATAGTCCTAGCATGGTTGTCATCTTGGAAGCTGTGCATAGGAGACTATATTTGTAAATAACATAAGGAGAATTGACATTTCTACAAATCGGGCATGCCTCGTTTTGTTGTACTTTGCTAGATTGTCCTTCGCAAATGTGTTTTTTACAAATTGAAGGTTTATGGCAACCTTGGTAGTCTATGAGTGCCATTTCCCCAACATTATGTGCACATTTTGTGTCTGTGTGTCACATTTCGGTAATTCTTGCAATATTTCAAGTTTTCTGATACTTATTGTAGCTATTATGGTGATCTGTGATCAGTATTCTTTCATGTTATTATTGTCATTGTTTTGGGGTGCCACAAACCTCAATCACTTCAGATGGCGAACTTAATGGATAAGTGTTGTGTGTGTTCTGACTGCTCTCCCCACCAGCCATTCCCCAGTCTCTCTCCCTCTCCTCAGGACTCTCTATTCCTTAAGGCACAATAATATTCAAATTAGGCCAATTAATAACTCTACGATTGCCCCTACATGTTCAAGTGAAGTGTCAAGTTTCTCCCTGTAAATCAAAAGCTAGAAATGATTAAGCTTAGAGAGGAAGGCACGTCAAAAGCTGAGATAGGCCAAAGGCTAGGCTAGGCCTCTTGTGCCAATGTTAGCCAAGTTGTGAATGCAGGGGAAAAGTTTTTGAAGGAAAGTGTAAGTGCTACTCTAGTGAACCTACAAATGATAAGAAATCAGAACAACCTTGTTGCTGATATGGAGAAGGTTTGCATGGTCTGGATAGAAGATTAAACCAGACGTGAAACTCCATTAACCCAAAGTCTAATCTAGAGCAAGGGCCTAACTTTCTTCACTTCTCTGAAGGTTGAGACAGGTGAGGTATGTACAGAAGAATAGTTTGAAGCTAACAGAGGTTGGTTCATGAGATTTAAGGAAAGAAGCTGTTTCCATAATATAAAAATGCAAGGTGAAGCAGCAAGTGCTGACATAGATGCTATAGCAAGTTATTCAGAAGATCTAGCTAATTGATGAAACTGGCTCAAACGTTTTAAACAGGGGGCCAGTTCACTGTCCCTCAGACTGTTGCAGGGCCGTTGGAGAGTGTGGCGCACATTCCACACATGCGCACTGTGGGCTCCTGACGAATTGGCTGCTAAGCAGGACAGGCAGTGGTGGCAAAAACTCCAGGCGGGCTGGATAAATATCCTTAGAGGGCAGCATGTGGCCTGTGGGCCACAGTTTGAGGATCCCTGGGCTATACTAAACAACAGATCTTCAGTGAAGATGAAACATCCCTAAGCTGGAAGAAGATGCCATCTAGGACTTTCATAGCTAGAGCAGAGAAGTCAATGCCTGGCTTCAAAATTCAAGAGACAGTCTAACTCTCTTATAGGGGCTAATGTAGCTGGTGACTTTCTGTTGTGGCCAATGCTCATTGACCACTCCAAAAATGCTAGGACTCTTAAATTATGCTACATTTACTCTACCTGTGCTCTGTAAGTAGAACAACAAAGCCTGGGTGACAGCACATCTGTTTATGGCATGGTTTGCTGACTATTTTAAGCCCCCTGTTGAGACCCGATCAGAGGAAAAGATTTCTCTTAATATATTACTATTCCTTAATAATGCACCTAGTCACCTGAGAGCTCTGATGAAGATGTACAAGTAGATTAGTGTTGTTTTCATGCTGGCTAACACAGCACCCATTCTGTAATTCATGGACCAAGGAGTTATTTTGTCAAGTCTTATTATTAAAGAAATACATTTCATAAAGCTATAGCTGACAAAGATAGTGATTCCTCTGATGGATCTGGGCAAAATAAATTAAAAACCTTCTGAAAAGGATTCACCATTCTAGATGCAACCGGGAGGAGGTAAACATATCCACATAATAGGAGTTTAGAAGAAATTGTTCCAATCCTCATGATGACTTTCAGAGGTTCAAGACTTCAGTGGAGGAAGTAAGTGCAAATGTGGTGGAAATAGTTAAGAGAACTAGAATTAGTAGTAGAGCCCGAAGATATGACGGAATCACTGCAATATCACCATAAAACTTGAATGAATGAGGAGTCTCTTCTTATGGATGAGCAAAGAAAGTGGTTTCTTGAACTAGAATCTACTCCTGGTGAAGATACTGTGAACACTGTTAAAATAACAACAAACGATTTAGAACCTGGCATAAAACAGTGGCAGGGTTTCAGAAGACTGACTCTAGTTTTGAAAGAGGTTCTACTGTGGGTAAAATGGTATCCAATAGCAAGGCATGCTACAGATGAATCCTTCGTAAAAGCAAGAGTCAATCGATTCAGCAAATTTTATTGTTGTCTTATTTTAAGAAATCGCTTCAGCAACCCCTACCCTTTTCAGTCAGCAGCCATCAGCATGGAGACAAAAGTCTCCACCAGCCAAAACATCACAACTCCCTGAAGCCTATGAAAATTGTTAGTGTTTTTTAGCAATAAAGTATTTTTAGTTAAGGTATATACATTGCTTTTTTAGATGTAATGTAATTTCAGACTTAATAGACTATAGTGTGCACATAAGTTTTATACCTACTGTGAAACCAAAACAAAATTGTATGGCTTGTGATATTCGCTTTATTGCAATTGTCTAGAACTGAACCCCGAATGTCTTTGAGGTTTGCCTGTATTCTGTTTCTCTGAATAAATGTAGCATACTGCTATATTTGGCACTCTTTTATTCCCTCAACTCTGTCAGTAAATGTTTACCGTTGCTTCTATAAAGATGTCATAAATTTCTGTAAGGTTTCAAGTTAGGTACATTTTAGACATTGTTGCTATTGTGAATGGTATATTTTCCATTTCACACCTCTTATTTATTTTGGTGTTATTGTGCCTGGCTTTTACTGACTACACATTCCAATCCAGATTTTTGGTTCCATATGCCCATATCTCTTGTATTTTTCTACACGTTATTGGGGATGTTTATAACATTTCACAATCATGTACATTTATTTGTATTTTGCCATATGGAAATTCCATTCTTATATAATTTTGCTAAAAGTTATTACCTCGAATTTATGCAGAACTTATATCAAGGGCTTCTACTTTATCCCTGCACACGATCATGAATTTTTTTCTCTCTTATCTCTTATTGTAGTGAATAACTCTATACTACTTCTTTTACTAATGTGATATAATCTTTGTATTATTTGGACACAACCTGATTCTTTATTAATTTACTACTATATTGGATATCCTATGGAATTGTTTGTGGTATTTGTTTTTGAGTGTGTTTTACTTAAGTATTCCTTTTTAAGGCATCCTTATCTGGTGTTTGTATCAAGGAGAGCTACTTCGTTAAACGTGGATGAGTGATTTCTTATTTTTATACAGTTTGAAACAGTTTAT